GACTTTGTTTACTACACCCTTCTGGTCCTCCTTTAAAGATGCCTTAATTCTAGGTGACCCAGTTTTCTGCTACCAATCACTGAGCAGGGTTTGTGGTCATGAGGAGACACGATGGGAGTGGCCAAAGACCACAGTCCATCCGGTAAACAGTACTGGCACAAAAAATGAGACTAGGCTAATAATAAAAAGCAACCAGGCTGCAGAATTGGCAAAGCTTTAAAAGTAAAAGTCTGCAGAATATTCTGGAAGCATGAGACACAAGGCAAAGAAGACATAAAAGAGTGGCTGATCAACTGGGAGGAGCTGATGAGTAAAGTTGATTCAACATAGTCTGAGGGGTTTGGTCACAGAGGAAAGACAAAAAGCTATAACAAATTAAGCGTGATTGTGGGGCCAGCCCAGTGGCGCAGTGGTTAAGTTCACAACGTTCTGCTTTGGCTGCCCGGGGTACACCAATTTGGATCCTGGGTGCAGACCTACGCACTGCTTGTCAGGCCAAGATCTGGCAGGCGTCCCACACATAACATCCCACATATAAAGGAGAGAAAGATGGGCATGGCTGTCAGCTCAGGGCCAGGCTTCCTCAGCAAAAAGAGGAGGATTGGCGGCAAATGTTAGCTCAGGGCTAATCTTCATCAAAAAATAAATAAATGAATAAATAAATAAATTTTAAAAAATTAAAAGAAAAAATTAAGCATGATTGTGCTCAAGAATTTTGGTGTGGCCTGGTAAAAATCTAAACTACTCCTTTGAGGTTGAATTTTATTTGTCCTTGGTTTTGACATTCTTGCATTAATGGTTTCATAATACAGAAACATCACACTATGATATTCCAACTTGTCAAATTTAGTGGCTGTTTGAATCTCATGTTTCTAATTTAATTTTCTGATAGGAAACACATCCATTTTGCTAAAAAATAAATATATACAAAAAGGTATACTAGGTTTGCAAGATGTTGCCTTTGGGAGAAAATGAGTAAGAGATATATGGGATCTTTCTGTATTATTTTTTATAACTGTATGTAAATCTACAATTATCTCAAAATAAAAAGATCATGGGGCTGGTCCGGTGGCGCAGCGGTTAAGTGCCCACGTTGCACTTCGGTGGCCTGGGGTTCACAGGTTCGGATCCCGGGTGCAGACATGGCACAGCTTGGCAAGCCATGCTGTGGCAGGCGTCCCACATATAAAGTAGAGGAAGATGGGCACAGATGTCAGCTCAGGGCCAGTCTTCCTCAGCAAAAAGAGGAGGATTGGCAGCAGATGTTAGCTCAGGGCTAATCTTTCTCAAAAAAAAAAAGATTATTTTTAAAAATCATAGCAGGAAGTCTTATGCCCATCCTTATTTCCCATCTGCTAAGGTCTGGCTGACCATGACCTCCTCCCTCCACCCCCTATCCCCGCTAACGGAAGCATATTTTGTTCTACATTTTGCTTTTTTCCATGTAACAGTGTATCAGAGATTTTTCCATATCAATGTATTAAAGAGCGTATTCTATGTATAGAGAGCTTTCATTTGAAGTATTCTTTGGATAAACCATATTTATGTAGCCAGTCCTCTATGGATGGACATTTGTATTGTTTCCAAATTTTGTTATTAAAAGCAATGCTATGAGTAACCTTGTAGATATATATTTTTGTCATTGTGATAGATGATGCCAAAGTCCCTTCATACGGACTGAATCAGTTTACATTCCCATCAGCAATGCATTAAAGCTTGTCTCCCCAAAGTCTCACCAACAGAGCGTGCTATCAAGCATTTGGGTTTCTGCCAATCCAGGAGATGAAAAATGGCATCAGTGAGTTTTAATTTGAATTTTTATTCCATTCATGATGTTGAGCATCTTTCCATATGTCTAAGAGCTATTTGCCCATTTATCCAATATACTGATGAATTGCAATGTTACCAGAAAATATCTGATAAGGAAGCTGAGTTTGCATGTCATACTGGAGAGAGGTCCTCTTAGGGTTTTGGCTCTTTTTTTTTTTTTTTGAGGAAGATTAGCTCTGAGCTAACATCTGCTGCCAATCCTCCTCTTTTTGCTGAGGAAGACTGGCCCTGAGATGACATCCGTGCCCATCTTCCTCTACTTTATATGTGGGACACCTACCACAGCATGGCTTGCCAAGCGGGGCCATGTCCCCACCCGGATCCAAACCAATAAACCCCGGGCCGCCAAAGCAGAACGTGCGCAGCTAACCACTGCGCCACCAGGCCGGCCCCTCCGGCTCTTATTTAAAACACAATGGCTCTTAAAGTGTTCGACATTGTTAAAAAAATATCAGAACATCAGATTGTTTCAAGTCATTGAGTCAAAGGGGGCTTATCCTAAATATGTCCAAATCACTGACCAACCACCAATGACCTCATCAAGCCTTCCCTAAAGGGATCTGCCCTGTCCAAGGGGGAAGAATAACAATACCCATGGTGAGTGCCCAGGCAATATTCCTTCAACAAGTATTGAGAGCCTTCATGGATCTTACGTTCCAGCGAGGGAAGACAGATAATCAACAGAATAAATAGGTAAATTGTATGGTTTGTTAGAAGGTGATGGGCAGGGGTGGTGGGGGGGGGCTGGTCTTGTAGCAGGTAAGTTCATGCACTCCGCTTCGGCAGCCGGAGACCCCAGTAGAGATCCCTGATGCGGACCTACACACCACTCAGCAAGCCAGGCTGTGGCGGGATCCCACATACAAAATATGGCCACAGATGTCAGCTCAGCGACAATGTTCCTCAAGCAAAAAGAGGAAGATTGGATTGGCAACAGATGTTAGCTCAGAGCCAATCTTCTTCAACAAAAAACAAAAAGAACGTGATGGGTGCTATGGTGAATAATAAGACTAGATATGGTGGATCAGGAGGCTTAGGGTGTGATTTTAAATAGTGTGATCAGAGCAGACCTCACCGAGATAATACCTGAACAAAGGAGGAGGTGAGGGGAGAAAGCCTGGCCATATCTGGAGGAAGAACATTCTGGCAGAGGAACAGCCAATGTAAGGGCCATGAGGAGGTGGTGGCCTGACGTGTTCAAGACACAGGAAGGAGGCCAGCATGGTTAGAGCTATCTGGAGGGAGGTAGGGAGGCCAAGAGAGCAGAGATGAGTTACAGGAGATAAGGCCAAAAATCTCTGGGTCAAATGGATAAATCTGGCATTACTCCTATCACTTCCTGACACCTCGTTCTTGTCTACATCTTGCCCTACCCCAGTGACTTAATTTTCTACGAGGGGCAGAGGCAATCCAGTGCCCCAGCTGCTCCCTGAGCAGAGAGAGCAGACAACCTACAAGCCTCAGACACATGGGCAAGCAATATGTTTGTTGTTTGTAGGCTAACGGCTCCTGGCAACAAGAGGATAATCTCATGCCTTTTTCTCCTATAATTAATTCTTCTCTTCCTGAAGCCTTCTTTTCCTTGTTAAATTTAAAACCCTTTCCTTGGAATGTCTGTAATTTGAGCATCTCGCAAGTGGTTCGTCTTCTCAGCTCATTTCCCGATTTCTGAATGCCTTCCATTTCAAGTTCACCCTGGGATGATATTAATCACAACTACATCAGACACCTCTACACAGACTCAAACCCTGCCTCTCAGCACCTGGGCAACACATATCAAATATTATCTGTCCCTGAACTTCAGATCCGGGACAAACACAGTTATAATTTTCTCAATAAAAAGCATTACCACGAGAGAAGCTCTTCCTTTCCACTCAAGTCTAAGAGGATCTATCCTGCTTCAGAATCGAGAGAAGGGAGGCAATGGCACTTTGGACTGAAATGAGCCATGAGAAACCAAGCCCAGGTTTCTGCAGGAGCACAAGGCCTGATGGGAAAATCCTGGATGCATGGAACCCCTCTTCTGCGGGCAAAACCACCACCATTACTATAGATTTGCTTCTGTGCACTATTCTTCATATTGCTCTCTTCCTTGCATCTTTAAACTCTACTCCCTCACATTCATTCCCCCTTCCTCATCCACAAAAAACATTAGAGAACATAGCTCACCAGGCGGAACGGCTGCAGGAGGGAGAGGCCCTGCAGTCTCTATAATCTCTACAATCACAAAGTAGTCACAAACCTTGGGTGTCACCCACTCTATCCTCTCACTGACCAATACAGGTCCGGGGGGGTCACACTACTTGGATAAGAACAGATTGTTCTAATGTTTAAGGAACGCCCGTTACCATGGGCAAGCACAGAGCTGGGAGCCATATGAAGAGAATCTGGACACATGTCCTGGGCACTGATGAAGTGATCCTCAGAAAGGAGGAGGCCGAAACTCATGAAAAAGGAAACGGTATAATGACAACACAAGAGGTCACAAGTTGTTGACAATCTGAGGGCTCTGACTTTGGGGGCACAGTACCCAGAGAGATCTTGGGCATCTCCATCCAGAAGAGCTTAAGCCAGATTCCCAAAGATCTGGAGGGAGCATAGTGTTGCTTTTGCTATGGGACGGATCTAGGTGTGAATTCTGCTCCCATCATTTCCTAGCTATGACATCAGTGTCACATTGATGATATTTCAACATCTGCTTAAACTAGTTTCCTTAAACAAAAAGTGAGCCAGACATCCACTTCACGAAGATGTTGGGAAGCGGAAGCGAAATATGTGAGCTGTTTTAGCACACACCTGGATCTGCCTCTCACACACTCAATAAGTGGCATCCATCAGAACCCATCCTTGTTTCAATATCGCCAAAGAAGCGTCTTCCAGAGATTCTGTCCCATGCCCCGTCTTAAAGTTCTACACTCTATCCTGAACCCCTCCTGCTGCCACTCTGTTCAGTGTCCAGTGTTGAGGGGAAAGTCAGAACTGCTCAGCTCTGTACCCGCTGCCTCCCTGTACATCCCAGGGCTGCCAGGAGCATCCTCTCCTCATCGTCAGATCTCGGTCTTTCCACAAGACGCCCCAGCTGGGTCTGGACCCCTTCCCTTTGCATCCGCAGCGCTGCCCTGGGGTGCCTCTGCCTGGTCCCCAGTCCTGCTGCCCACCGTGCCCCTCACCTGATGTAGGGGAGGAAGGGGTTGACGTGCCCGGAGAGCACCGCGACCACGTAGGAGATGATGAAGGCGGCGGACGACCAGGTCACCAGGAGGAAGGGGACGAAGGCCATTCCCCTCAGGAAGCACAGCATCGCGCCGCCGCCGGGAGGCGCTGCGCTCAGCGGGGCCAGGGCGCGGGGCTGCTCCGGGCCGCCGGAGGCGGGGGCCGCGCACGTGCTGGCCCGCCAGGCGGCGGTCACGGCGCGCACGGCCACGGGCGGCCGGACTGGAGGCTCCGCGACGGCAGGGCAGGCCCGGCCGCAGGCAGGGAGCGCGGAGAGCGGAGCGGGGCGGCGGGCGGAGAGCGGAGCGGGGCGGCGGGCGGGCGGAGAGCGGAGCGGGGCGGCGGGCGGGCGGAGAGCGGAGCGGGGCGGCGGGCGGCGGGCGACGGGCGGGCCGGGTGGGTGGGGCGCGGGCGGCCCGGGCTTGTTGCGAAATGAGTGAAGTCACAAAGCGGCGGCCCGATCGGCTTGGAGGCGCGCGGCGACCTCCCCGCGGACGCGACGCCGGGGCTACTGGGCTGCTGTGGCCGGGCTCCTTTCGCTTTTGGTTCGGACTCTCCGGGGTGGGAGGGTCGGCGCGGACAGGCTGCGCTGGGGGCGCCGGCGGGGATGCCTGCCCTGGCCGTCCCAGCGCGCCCGGCCGCCCCGCTCTTGCACAACTCCGGAGCAACAGATGGAGTCCTCCGGCCACTCCTTCCCTCGGGGTTTCCGGGGTACCAGGCCTTGAACCCCGAGAACTTCCCCTCCGAGGTCCCGCCGCCCGCGCGTCGCGGGGGAGAGGGTGGCCACCGTGTGGTGACATCCACCGCATCCTGCCGCGCTGTTTCTGCTCCTGCTGCAGGGGTGGGGACAGAGTGTCAGGTGACTTTCCCCAGGCCACGAGGCACCGATGTGACGCCCACCTAGATAGTGTCCCCCTCAAAACCAAGTGTGTGTAGGGGCGTGTGGGGGCGGGGTGGGACGAGCTCGAGCAGAGCCTGGACGGCTCCGTGCGCTGCCCACACTTCTGCTTTCCGCCAGAGCCGACCTGGAGAATTTGTTTCCTAGAAATTAGATTTCGCTATCTCCTCTCACGGATCAGGGTTAGCCGGGGCTAGAAGCCACGACCTAAGATGAGTAATGGTGACGTGATACGTTTCAAACCCTGCCAAAGAGGTTTGTGTTCAGGAGGCGCCTGCAAGCGTAGCGATTTTGAGGTGTAGTTTAGGGATTCTGAGCCCAGGTATGTGGCCGAGGTCACTGCATTCATTTCAGCCGTATAAACGTTTCTTGGGTGCCACACCCTGCGGGGGGGGACAGGATACAAAGATTAAATAGTTCCATGGGGTCCAGGAGACTGACATATCAAAATAAAATAAAATGGTATGCAATATTAAATAGGAAAAGATAAAAAAATAAAATAGAGTTATGCACAGAGCTGAAAGGCAGCGGCCGGCGCGCAGAGGAAGAACCACGGACGTTTCCCTGGCGAGCGATGTTACAGCTTTAAAAGTACGTGATTGCTCACCGGGTAAAGAAGGGTGAGACTAGCGTTCCAGGCCGAGGAAACAGCGGAAACAGCAAGAGAAAATGCATAAACAAGTGAAATTGCTTGTTTTTCCGGAAAAACAAGTGAACTTGTTTTCTGGAAAAGAACTCGATTTCTGGAGAAACAACTGGAATTGCTTGTTTTTCTGGAACTAGAAAAGCATTCAAATAAGTATAAGGCAGAGAATGGAGAGGTGGGCACAGAGGCCGTGTCTCCAGAGCCTTGCTAAGAATCTTGGGGTTTTGGTTTTGTTTTCACTTGGGCTGTGAGGAGAGTGTAGGAACGTGGACGGACTTGTCTTTCGGGAGATCTCTGTGGCTGGTGGGGAGCGACTCCCACACTGAATAAAGGGGGAGCTTCCAGGCTTTTAAAACACCACCAAAGCGGCCATCCATGGCCGTCCATTGCACATCTCCACTTAGGTTTGTAAGCTCTGAAAACCGCTCTCTTCCCTGGTTTTCCTTCCTTTTCCCCACGCCCTCCCTTTTCTTTTTTGCCTACTCTACTACTGATTCATCTGATTTTAAAAACCTTCCCTGCGGCAGAGGAGTTATGACATTAAGTGGAATTCACCTGATCATCTTATCTTTTGCTGACGTAATTAATTCCGTTAAGCAACCCAATTGGCTAATCACTTTTAACACAAACATAATTACAAGAATTGTCTGGCTATAACGGCAATAGGTATTTTGTAGTTTAAAATATGTATACATGGATATATTTAAAGCATGTATGTAACTATAACTATAACTAACCGAACATATGTACATATGGTGTCATGCAGCCCTGAGAAGCACAGAGTTGCTTTCCCTTCTAAGAGCATTCAGTACCATAGATTGTATAACGCTCTCTGTTTGGAATAGTAAAGTTTTTATGGTAAGAAATGCAGGGGCCGTCCCCTGGTGCAGTGGTTAAGTTCACGTGCTCCACTTTGGCAGCGTGGGGTTTGCTGGTTCTGATCCTGGGCACCGACCTAGCACTGCTCATCAAGCCATGCTGAGGCAGCATCCCACAAAGAAGAACTGGAAGGACCTACAACTAGGATATACAACTATGTACTTGGGGGCTTTGGGAAGAAAAAAAGAAAAGAAAGAGGAAGATTGGTAATGGATGTCAACTCCGGGCCAATCTTCCTCACCAACAAAGAAAAGAAAAGAAAAGAAAAAATTTAAAAACCCCACATACCTTAAAAACAATAGAAATGCAAAAGTCCTAGAAAACAACCTTACTGGTGAAGGAAAACAGAATATGTCACCCCAAAATATACCTCTCTGACATAAGAATTATTTTGAGCTGAAGGCAATTAAGAAGCAGGAAAGGCTCTCTCTCCTTCTTTTAAAGGCAGGATATAAATTCCCCTTACCGGAGATGACTAGACTCTCAGCCCACAGAGAGCACCAGAGGAATCTACAAACAAATCTTACTCCATTAGTTTCCTCGCATATATTTACCTTCCCAGTTTCCCACACTTGGAAGCCTTTTACATTTTCCTTTGTCCTGTCATTTCTGTACAAATTTATTGTTCCTTTGTTAGGATGCTATATACACAAGCCACCTCTTTGACTTATTCATCCCTGAGTTTCTCCCATGTATATATGAGATATACATATTAATAAACTTCCGTTTGTTTTTCTCTTGTTAATCTGCTTTTTGTTAACAGAGACCCAGCTGAGAATCTAGAAGAGTACAAGAAAAAATATTTTTCCTCCCCAGCACTGGGTACCTTTAAGATATATAGTAAAGAGGCTGGCCCGGTGGCGCAGCAGTTAAGTTCCCACGTTCTGCTTCTCGGCGGCCCGGGGTTCACCGGTTCGGATCCCAGGTAGGGACATGGCACCACTTGACACGCCATGCTGTGGTAGGCGTCCCACACATAAAGTAGAGGAAGATGGGCATGGATGTTAGCTCAGGGCCAGGCTTTCTCAGCAAAAAAGAGGAGGACTGGCAGTAGTTAGCTCAGGGCTAATCTTCCTCAAAAAAAAACCCAAAAAAGATATATAGTAAAAATTGTGCTTCTTCCCTTGAAATGATTCCTGACTTTCTCTCTGTCAAAGGAAGTTACACTGACTCAAAGTAAGGGTCTCAATGGACTGTCCTTTTGAGGATGAAGTCATTCTTCCTTGGTGGCCACCATGTATTGAAAGGCGGAATATCAGCCCCTCTTTATGGGTGAGGAAGCTGAGGCTCAAGGTCACGCAGCTAAGGAACAGAGATGCAGAATTGAATCCAGGCCTATCGGAATCAAAAGCCTGCAGCCCTAACCATTGGGAGGAACTGTCTTACTCTTCTAATTCCTCAAACTCCAGCATTACAGGAGGAAACTCCTTAAAAATATATGTAGCTATCTTTTATTTTTGTGTTTTTGTATATGTGTATGTATGTGTGCATGGATATATTTATGCAATTTGAAAAACTTGCACTATATTATATAACAAATAATTGAGAAGCATCCATAATTTCCTACCAAGTCAACTTTCTCAGTTTCTTAGTTTCTGTTTGGCTCTTACTCATAGGAATATTCAAGATCGAATTATAGTTACAAATTTGTAGCTTGATTATCTTTTTGTTTGTTTGTTTGTTTGTTTGTTTTGTGAGGAAGAGTGGCCCTGAGCTAACATCTGTGCCAATCTTCCTCTGTTTTTCATGTGGGATGCCCCCATACCGTGGCTTGACAAGTGGTGCTAAGTCTGTACCCAGTATCGGAACCTGTGAACCCTGGGCCACCAAAATGGAGCATGCGAACTTAACTACTCTGCTGGGCCGGCCCCAAGTAGCTCGATTGTCTTTTTGTATTAAGTATCTACTCCATGCTGTTACAGTCTTCGAGTTACCACTTTTAATTACTCTATATTAACCCACCAAATTAATGAACTATAATTTACTTCACTGCCCCAACGCTAAACATTTATGCTTATCTAGTTATTTCTGTATTTTAATTAATTTATTTATTTTTATTTTATTTATTTTTTTAAAAGATTTTATTTTTCCTTTTTCTCCTCCAAAGCCCCCTGGTACACAGTTGTATATGTTTTAGTTGTGGGTCCTTCTAGTTGTGGCCTGTGGGATGCTGCCTCAGCATGGCCTGATGAGCAGTGCCATGTACGTGCCCAGGATCCCAACCAGTGAAACCCTGGGCTGCTGAAGCAGAGCGCGCGAACTTAACCACTCGGCCACAGGGCCAGCCCCTGGTTTTTTTTGTTTTTGTTCTTGTTGTTTTGAGGAAGATTAGCCCTGAGCTAACATCTGCCACCAATCCTCCTCTTTTTGCTGAGGAAGATTGGCCCTGAGCTAACATGTGGTGATCGTCCTCTATTTTGTATGTGGGATGCCACCACAACATGGCTTGATGAGCAGTGTGTAGGTCTGCACCTGGGACCTGAACCCACAAACCTTGAGCCACTGAAGTGGACCATGCAAACTTAACCACCACACCACTGGGTCAGCCCTGGGCCCCCAAAGCAGAGCACACTGAACTTAACCAGTACGCCACAGGGCCAGCCGCTCCGTTTCTGTATTGTTAGTCTTACCTAGTACTGTAGCCATAAAATACTACTCAAGATTTTAACTTATACTTCCTTTTAAAGCTATCAGT